GGGCTAACATCCGTGCCCATCTTCCTCTACTTTATATGGGACGCCATCACAGCATGGCCTGGCAAGTGGTGCGTTGGCGTGAGCCGGGGATCCGAACCCGGGCTGCCAGCAGCGGAGCACATGCACTTAACTGCTACGCCATGGGGCCGGCCCCAGGTTGGGGCATTCTAGCACTGGTTCAGAAACCTCCAAAACTCTCTTATTCATTCCACCACAGTGACCAGCAGTGCTCCAAGCGGAACTATTCCATTAGTGTAGGTTGTGGAGTGAGCGTGCCGTGGAACAGAGCCCTCAACTGGTCTCTGATGAATGTGCAGTGTAAATGAGAAATAACCCTTTGTGGTGTTAAGCTACTGAGGTTTGGGAGTTTTTTGTTACTGCAGCGTAATTTGGCCTATCCTAACTGACACATTGCTTACAGCACCTACTGGGTGCCAAGTGTTGACTAAGATCTCATCTTTACCTACCTCAGATAACATACACGAGATAGTAGGGGGAGAAGCATGTAAACAAATAAATAATGTTTCATGGTTCTGTGATAGAAATATGTGTATTGGACAGTGGGTACATAGTTATTTGCAGGCAGGAGGTGGATGTTAAGGAAAAGCTTCTTAGAGAATCTGGATTTTTGAAAATAAATAGTTGGTCAAGTTAGGAAAGAGTTTTCCAGTAGAGCGAATATGTGAGCAAGGGCATGGAGATGAGCCTAAGCACAGCATATTTAGAAAACTGCAAGTACAAATTTTAAATCCCTATTAAAATTTGTAGCTTGAGGCCTTAACTCTGGTGACATCTGGTGGAAGCTAAGGAAGAAGGAAATACTTGAAATATACGCTGTGGAATGCTTTCTGGATGTGAAGGGCTCTGCCTCTAAAGCTTAAGGTAGATAACAGAATATTAAGGGTTGGAAGATATAATCTCGTCTAGCACTGTCCAATAAAAATATAATGCAAGCCACATATATAACTTAAAATTTTCTAGTGGTCACATTAAAAAGTAAAAAGAGGGGCTGGCCTGGTAGCGTAGTGGTTAAGTTCACGCATGACGGCCCAGGGTTCGCAGGTTCAGATCCTGGGCGTGGACCCATGCACCGCTCATCAACCCATGCTGTAGAGGTGTCCCACATACAAGAAGTAGAGGAAGATTGGCACAGATATTGGCTCAGGGACAGTCTTCCTCAAGCAAAAAGGGGAAGATTGGCAGCAGATGTTAGCTCAGGGCCAATCTTCCTCATCAAAAAAAAGAGAAAAAGTAAAAAGAAACAGGGAAAGGTATTATTTAGTTATTTATTTATTTTTGTTGTTGTTGTTGAGGAAGATTAGCCCTGAGCTAACATCTGTGCCAATCTTCCTCTATTTTGTATGTGGGTGGCCACCACAGCGTGACTGACAAATGGTGTAGGTCTGCGCCCAGGATCCAAACCCACGAACCCTGGCTGCTGCAACAGGGCGTGCTGAACTTAACCACTACGCCACAGGGCTGACCCCAGGAAAAGGTATTTTTAACAAATTTTATTTAACCCAATATATTAAAAATATTATTTCAACATGTAATCCACATAAAAAGTTATTAGACATTTTACATTCTTTTTTGTACCAAGTGTGTATTTGTATTGGTGAGTATTTTACACTTACAACACATCTCCATTTGGATCAGTCACATTTCAAGTGCTCAGTAGTCACATGTGGCTAGTGGCTACTATATTGGATGGTGCAGATCTTTTCATTTTACTACAGAGGAAACAGAAGGAAACTCAGTAATTAGACAATATCATTGAACTAATTGGTGGTCGATTCCCGGTATGCAGCTCTTTGTTCAATATCATGATTTTTTTTCTTTTTCAAGGAGTCTTCAAAATGCAGTATAGCAAAATATGTCAATAATGAGCTTTTTCACCCCCGAGGTAATTTTTGTGTGGGCACATGTGAGATTTGTTTTTTTCTAAGAAAACCTATTGTAAAAAAATAAAAATCAGAAAATGGATATAACTTACAATGTTTGCATGCTGCTTTGCCCATATACCATCAATAATGTCTACAGACTTGAATCGCTTTATATAGCAAACATATACCCACTTAATAACTCATAATTCATC